GGTAATTACTGGAACGATTTTATGGCAAAAAATTCCTTTGCTTCGAGCCCAAAAAAAAAGAAACTAAAACAGATAAACGAAATACCGAGCGTAATTGAGCAATTGAAATGCTAAAATCCCTTTCAAATGCCACGCCTCCTTATTTTTCTGGCTGCTATTTGATGGCGTTTAATTTTCTGCCAAGTTTTTGCCCCTTTTCCCCCTTTTTATTTATTTTGCTGCGCCATTTGTAGAATTTACAACAAGTGCAGAGCGCGATTTCTTGTCGCTGCTCTTCTTTTTTATTTTAATTTATTTGTACTTTTTTTTGCATTCTCCAAAGTGTAGAGGCGTGATTTTGTAAAACTTCCGCACAAGATTAAGTTCAATAAACTGCCATATGTGCATATGTGCAGGAAAAAGATAGGAAAATGCACGCATAATACTGTCTCTTTTTATACTCGTTTCTTTTCCAACTTGTCATCAACTTCTTTGACTTTGTGTGGGAATTTAGCAGTACAATCTGTTATTTATTCCTATTCTTTTTTTTGTACATCATTAAATGCAGGTCTGAGTACTCAAAAGAAGTGGAAAAGAGATGGGGTGGCATAGTAAGAGAGAGAGATGGCATTGGAGTACAGAGTGCATTAATAAAGCAGAAGAAATCTCTGCAAGTGAACTTTTCCCATTTCATTCTCCGTTAGTTCAGTTCAATGCACTTGTGTGATAAAGGCAAACAAAATGACACTAAACCGTAGACACATTCAAAAACATTGTAACATTAAAAACAAACAATTACTCATATGGACAAAAAACCACTACATTCTCGAATGAATTGACTATGAAAATAACTCTCATTGAAATTTTTTCTAGCTGAGTCACAAAATACACTTTAAATTTGCATTTAGTCAACGATTTCGACGCCGCTGCGCAGTCGTGTACAATACTTTCAATGTCAAGTTGAAACTTTGCTTCTACACAAAGAAAAAAAAATAGCTCAAAAATATATTGAAAGACATTAAATCATAGTTGATAAATATAATATTATCAGATAGCAAATTATTTCACATTTTTTTCGCATGTATGCTGTAACATTTCGTGATGTTATTTACTAAGAATAATTATGATTAAAAATCGTATTATTAAAACGAAAATTGTATTCGTCATACTATTTAATTATTTGGAATTAAATATATCATTTTATTTTTTAGTACTCGTTTTCTATATCTTGGGGTTTAAAATATAATATATACATATTTGTTTGAGTATTGATAATACTGCAATTGTTCTTAATTATTTTCTCAGCTTAATGCATTGTTTAATTGTTTCTGCGGCCCTGTCACTTTGAACTATTGTACATTTTTCTGACCCCTCCCCGAAATTCCCAACTATATTTTTTTACCCTGAGAAAGTGTTGGGGAACTTGTTCATTTGTTGAACACTTTTTGTTACAACTTTCTTTGCACCAGTTAAGGAAAACTTGTCAAGCGAAATGCGTGGCTCAGAGCCATGAACAAAGTGTTTTATTTGGCCGAACAAGTTTGATCCCCTTTGGAGATAGCGATAGCTATACTCTACACACAGAAAAAATAAAAGCTTAATTCACACCGGAGTGGAATATAAAAAACTAGGTAGGTACATATACGAACAATGCGTGGGAAGTGTTTTCTGAAGCGAGGAGAGCATAATTAAAACCTAGGCATAGTCAGCTGTGATAAAAGATGTTCAAATGCGATAAGCCAACAACAAAAGCCATGAAGAAACACTTGAAAACCTGAACACAAACAAATTCACAACAAAAATAAAACCTGAATAAGGTATGTATGGTAGAGAACTTTGAAGATGCTGATACGATGATGTAACAAACTTAAGTGGGCAAACAAATAAATGATTACGCGAATTTGTCGAGTATCGTAAGATAAACAAACGAGAAGATCTCTAAAGGTTAAATGCATTAACAAGGAAATTAAAGATCAAAGAGTGGCAATCAAATGATCATTTAATAAGAAATTTATTTCATTAAACAAATTTATAATCTGTAAGTAGCAATTTATATTTAGGCGAATGTAATTACTAAATCAAATAATTTTGTATCATTCTTTAATAAACATCAAAGATAAACCACTAAAATTTGCTAAATAAATTTGTAATTTTATAAATCCATTATACCGATTAAATCTGCATCAATTCGATTCACCACATTCGACACAAGCTTAGGGTATAAAACGTATTTCACAGACATTTGACTTCCAAATTCCGGCATCATAAAAACCCAATTAATCAGACTTTTATCAAAACGAACTCTTCACTTTGGCAAATCACATTATGATGGAGTTTTTCTTGCGTTCCTGTCAAAGTAAATTAAGTGTACATCAACCCTGCATTAGGGCAACATCTATAACAAAGTAAAAACAAACTTTTATGTGGCCATAATAGAGTCTTGAAAAGAAACTCATTTCTCTGATTTGTCTGCCCTGACGAACTCCCATTAGAACTGAAATTAGAGCAAATCACAGCTTGATGGCTATCAATTGGGCTAAGTTGGCAAGTTGCGCTATCTTCTGCCTTTGGGCCAAGTTAGCAACTGCCGGAGATGCCGAACAAAAGATGAGAAAAAATTATATAGAAACTGTGTCACTGCGAGAGATCGTTAAGATCATGAGTCAGTGGCTTTTAGATTCTTTTTTTTTTTTTGCTACCTTTGTCGTTAATCTATTCTCACCTGACAGAGAATTATATTAGAAAAAGGTCAGAGGTAAAAAGCAAGGAGGTCAACATAAAGTTCAAGTTAAAAGTTCATGTTCTAGAATTCGGGATAAATTTTAACTGGGACTTCATATTAAATCAGATTATTTTATCTGCATCTGCCTGTCATACCTCTATTTCTAGGGGTTTAATAGCAATTTAATTTGTAGGAATATAAATAAACAAACTGAATGTAAATGTGGCTCATTTTTTATAGCCTGGTTGCCATGGAATCATTTCTAGGGAACTTGAACTAATAAATCAACTTTCTACAAACAAAATGCTCGTCATTAAAGTTTATAAAAAAAAATGGTTCGAATCCCTCATACCATTTTTTTATTATTATTAAAAGACTTTAAATACCGAAAAATACCTAGGAGGTTTTAAATTAGGGGGCTCTTTCATCATATTACACCCCTGGTGCGAAAACAAATTACCTGATGCTCTACTGTTATTTTACAGGGGGTATTTAAAAATCAATGAACTCAATAGCCCAAGACCCCCCGAGGTCCCCCGATTTCCCATCCCGTATGTCAACCGTTCGACGGTTCAGTTTTGGGGGAACTCAGAACGCATTATTTTGCATAATTCTCTTTTTCGCCTCGTTCGGTTTTCGTTTTATTGCTGAAAGCTTTTGACGCCCCTTGGTAACCAAACAAACAAATAATAATTAGCAAACTTGAGGACGAGGGGAGATATAATGGTGTTGTGACACACATCAAAAACAAGTTGTTCGGGAATTATCAAGGAGTGAGTCAGAAGAAAAAATAATTAAATTTAAACCAGGAGGCACACAAATTGAACTTGAACTTGAGCTTAATTAAAAACTGTAAAACATGAATTCAAACCATTTTTCCATGTCACGTTTCCAGTTTTTTTTACATTTTTTTAGCGGTTTTAACGTGATGCAAAAAAAGATGGAACATGAAAATGCGGATAAAGTTGAAGCGACTTAACGATTACGATCATGATGATCTAACGCTAATGTCAAAGTGGTTTTCTGATTAGCAACAAAGTCCAAAAATTGGCACGTTCGAGAAGATTAAGAAAAATGGGGAAACGGGGAAGAAGCGGAAAACAGGTCATAGTGAGCTAAAAAAAAAATGCGACAAATGCGCCAAAGCGAATACCATAAAAAACGATCTCACAAAATAACTGAGATTAAAAGAAGACGGTTTCTAAGAATTTTCGTGTATTTTAAATGATAAAAATCCCACAAAATGTTCTTAGAAATCGCAAATTAAAAGAAGAAGAAAACACGTATTATACAAAATTAACCTTATAAGTCGATTAAATACAGCTGCCACAATACTGGGAAAAATATTTAGTTACTCTAGATAAAAACTAGAAAAAATTTCTGAGAAAATAAAAATTTTTCATTTATAAACTTTGAAAGATAACATTGAAATTAGCAAAAATATATTGTTTTTACTCAAAAATATTTTGAGAGTTTTTCAACTAATACCGGTATTTAAGGCAGAGCTTTTTACGATTATTATTACTTCTACATCCCAATTTAGATAAAAATACCATTTTTGTCATTAATTTAAAAGTAAATAATTGTAGTTTTGGCGAGAATACCGCAAAATACGGTAAACTGTATTTAGAGAGGCTCAAAACGATCCCAAAAAGTAAAAAGGGATAGAGGGGAGAAAAGGGAAGGGGCGTGTGCGTGCGTGCGTGTGTGTGTCTGGAATTTGTATGTATGAGTCAACGGGCAAAATGCGGGCGGACTGCACCTTGCAAAAAGAGAGGGTGATAAAGAGAGAGGAAAGGGAGAGGGATAAGGAGGAAGCGAGAGAGAATAAGGTCAAGCGGGGTGCGGCAACAAATATTTTCGCTGATAGCCGTTGATAAAAGGCTCTCTCTCCCTCTCCCTCTCCCTTCTTTCTCTTCTCTCCATTTATTTTGCTGAATGAAGCACACACAAAAGCCGAAGTGCCTTTTATTTAGTTTAGATTTAAATATTTAACAAGGCATACCACAAAAAAAAAAACCAACAAAAAGGCCGAGAGAAATTTCACTTTTGGGCTTGGTTTTTTTTTGCCTTCTCACGCACACTTTCTTTTGGACGGCGACTTTTGGCGGCTTTTACAAATGTTGTGGTTAAAACAAAGTCTAATGTACCTTTCTAGCAAATTAAACAATTTTATGGAAAAAAAAGATATATGTATGCACTCCAAAAATCAACAAGAACAACATACGAAATGTGCGTAATCACTTTTATTTTGGTGTAGTTGTAAAACGCTGCTTCTCTTATTCTCCTTTTTGCGTACTTCGTTTTTTGTTTTGCGAGTCCGCTTTGGGCTGCCGCTTCGTTTGTTGTCGGTGTGCAAGCCCCTCACCGTGTTGCACTAAACAAAAAAATTAGGATCGCGACTGGGGAGAATCGGGATCGGATCACAACAATAAGGTTGGCTGCCTTTCGGTTTTCTTTCGATTTTTCTTTTTGCCGCACGCCGCAATAAAAAGGAATGGATTTGCTTGAGTCGGAAAAAAAAACTAGTGTGGCCGTCGCCGTCGGCGGTGGGAGACATCAGTGTTTCTGCCATCGATATTTTGAAATTATCAGCGGTATCGATGTTTGGCAAGGCGTCATCGGTGTTTTTCCACCTATCGAAAAACTCACCACAATGTTAACGATTCCACTCCAGTTCTTGCGCACTGTTAACGATTTCATTCCAGTTCTTGCGCACTGTTAACGATTCAGCTCCTGTTTGTACCCATTCTGTTAGTTTCCACTCCAGTTCTTAAGCACTCTGTTAGATTTTACTCCAGTTCCAGCGTCATCGATGTTTTCCCACCCCAAAAAGGAGTGTGTACTCGCTAACTGCGGGGTATGTCTCCGCTAACAACAGAGTGTGTTTGATAATTTGCCAATCGGAAAATGTAAACCGTTAAAGTGTGACCAGTCTGCAGTCTTCACTAAATCTCAGCATTTGGTGACAAGGACGGGAGTGAAAGGCGCGCATTTCAAATTTGAAACGAATTTATTTACTTTAATAATGCTGACCTATGTTTAAAATTAAGTTCCCACGCAAAATATGTAGTAGATAGTCGAATGTATGTATGTACATCGTACATATGTTTTATCAAAAGACAATCAGTAATTTCTTGTTATAATTTTTGTGTACGCATTTTAAAAGGAAAATAAACAATTGATTTAAAACCGCCTCCTCAACAGATGCTGTTAGTTTAACATGCACAATTGTGTATGTTAGCGCACTCATAGTTCCGATTTCCGCCACAAGATGTCGCCTTTCCAAAACCAGATTCGGTATTTTTTGTAAATAAATGATGGTATATTACTAAATACCAGCTGAGCGACGAATTGCGTGTGTGCGTTCGTGTGAAATATTTGTGAATATTTTTTTACTGTGACAAAATAGACGAAAATCGGCTGTGGAAAACCGAAGTAAACACAAATTACGCATAATGACGAATGGCCCTTAGCCCTTGTGTACCGGCAGTGGCTGTGTGAAAAGCGGAAAAGCCATACAAATCGCACAATTCGCAAAATTTGCAAACTTAACCTCGCAGCGCTTTTTTTTTTTTGCAAAAACGACAAAAAAAAGAAGAAAAAGAAAACGAAAAGCGAAGTCGGCGAGTGCGAGCAGGACAGCGATAATCGAGTGAAAAGTCTTATTGTTATTATTGTTGTTGTAAAAACCTTTATTGTTTTAATCAACCGGCGATTTTATTCTCACACACACGCTGTCAAAAAGTAAAAGAATAAAGCAAATAAATACACTCGCAAAAACAAAATCAAAAAAATACCGGTAAAAAATCCAAAACAGGAGGCATTAAAAAAAGCAACGAAATGTACGTACATCTATGTGAGTGTGTGTGCTTAGGGGGCAGTTAGAGGCGTGGCTGTATATACGGATATATACATATATATATATCCCAATTAGTAGGTCTAGTTGGGCTTTTTATCTTCTCCTCTTTGATTCGCTCATTCTTCTCGTGTGCAGGCAACGCAACAACAAAAAGAAGATGGGGAAGAAGAAGACTCAGGCAAAAAACCAATTGTGATTTGAGCTTGGAGGATTAACCCTTAGGGGGACCATGTGCTGTTAAACAAATTAAATATTTTTTAATATAAATTCTTGTATTACAAAATTAAAGTTAAAAAAATGTGTGTTGTTGAATTGTAGCTTTGAAAATTAACTCTAAGGAAAGACAAAAAACTTCTTAATAATACAATACTTAGTTTTACGAAAATTTAAACCTTTGGGATTGACCCTTAAAGATTATTTCACAGACATTTAATTGGCTATGTCGGTTCAATTTCAAAATTCAAACTATTTGGATATATTTTAATAAAGCTCTAGGATGCCTGGAATCTTTTAATTAACTTGTTTATTAGATATTGTCGTTTGAGCCGATATTTGAACTTTACGTTTAATATTAAAAAGGTTTCAAATGAGGAAATAAATAGCATAAATAAAGTCACAATAAACACAAAAAAGAGTGAATAAATTTGTTTTAACGAAAACTAATACTGTTTTTAACCTGTGCATTTAAATGTTTGCATAAAAAGATCGCTTTGACACATTAGGTCAGTCTAAAAGTTCACAATTTAATAAATCGGCCATTAAAAAAATCTGACTAATAGACTATATTTTGTGTGCCTGTGAAATTAAGAGAAGTTTTCGATTAGTTTTGGCATCCGATTTAAAGAACACCATTTCCAGAAAAACCCGTTTAACCTTCTTATACCCTTTATTCATTCTGATAAGAATAATTTTTTGCTTACATTCCTTTTAGTTTTTAATCTTTGAACTCACAAATATTTCTTAAAACGTTTAACTGAAACACGATTTGATTTGGTATTTACGTACCATTATTTTTGTTCATTTTTTGTTTGGTGCTATAAATAAAACCCAAATGTTGTTGATAAGAAAATGTCTTAAGATAAGGCCTTTATTAGCCACACAGTGTGGGCCAAAAATATATGGCATAATATAACAATTCTAAATTGTTAATTTGTATTTTATTTTCAGATGAATTTAACATTTTATTGCCAGGGCTCTGACAAGTCTTGTCACATTTATTGCCGACAAATGCAATCGATTATAAAATCACTATTAAAATGTTAAATAAGTAAAACATTCAAAAACTTATACCAGACAAAATTTTAGAAGGAAACTGATATATTTTGAATTTATAAAAACCCAAAATTCGTATCTGACATAATAATCAAAAAGCAATAATGGATCAATTTCAAACGTCGCTCAATCCACGGAAACAGGAGCTTTTGGAAGCCAGGTTCATTGGAGTGAGGGTAAGTCCAAAAATTAATATATATAGAAAAAATAAATAAAAATATTACAATTTCAAATATATACGTTTAACATTATCAGATATTTTCTAAAATATCTTTTTATGGGTTAAACTTAGATAAGATCTTTCTTTTGTTGTTACTGAATTTATTTAAAAAAAATATTTTATTAGAATACTATTCTAAAGAAATCATTGAACGAAACAGTATATGAGAATTTATTTTAAACTTTTTCAGACCTTTAATATAAAACTGTTTTATAAAAACACTATCATTCAGATCTTTTAAAATCCTTTTATTCAGATTTTTTTCAGTCATGGGATATTTTATAAAAAGTTGTTTTATATGTTGGGAAATTCACTAATTTTCTTACTGTGTATATGGTTTTGCATAGGTCGCGGCGATTGGCTGTCAATGTGTTGGCCTCCGGGCCATCGAAGGGTTAATGGCAAACGGTTATTGCACTTTGGATCTTTTGTTGTTTCGTCGAGATGCACATGCAGATGCGGTTGTTGTTGCAGATGATTTTCCGAAGTTTTTTCCCCCTTGATGTTTTCCATCTTTTCCTTTTTTTGCACTTCTTTCTTGGCTTTGTGCCGCTTTGTTGAAGCGCAAGAAGAGGTATGAAAATGTGGAAAAAGCGAAAATAAATTAGCATTGGCAAAAGGAAGAACGAGAAAAGTGGGGGGAAATTGGAAGGAAAATGAGGGAAATTGCGGGGAAAATGCAAAGTTGAGTCTGTGTGTGTATATGGGAGTGTAAGTGGGAGGAAACGGGGGGAAAAGGTGGGTGCCTATGCTCAGCCCTCATTTCCAAGCCTCCATCTCCCCATCTCCCACCCACTTCGGAGCTGCTCTTTGTTGGTACATATGTACACTAAAAAAAATGTGACAAACAATTTGTTTACCTGTCAATATATTGTTATCTAATTAAAAATTAATTTTTTTCTTAAATGAGGAAATATTTAAAAAACTATTTTAATTCAAAGATTCTGAAAGCAAATCTTTGTTTATACATAAATCGTTAAAAATTAGTTGAATAACTAACCTCATTTAGGAGTTGAAAAATAGGTATATAATTTGAGCTTGGAATATTATTTTTGCAGTGTAAGACTTAATCGCAGCACTACCACAAACGTACACATGGCCCTCATCTTGTTGTTGTTGTCAACATCTCGTCACTCACACACTTTTGGCAAATATGTACGGTCAATACATAAATGCACGGCAGTACATACAAATACATAAAGGAGAAGACCACACACACACAGATAGGCATTTTTGCACCACCCACCTGAAATCACCCATTTTTGGTATTTTTTTTATGTTGGTTGGGTTGCTTTTCTTTTTAAGCATTTTGCCACGTTTTCCTCCACTTCGTGTGTAATGGAATGAAAGTACAAATAAAAGAACAGCTGATAAGCAACAACGTTCAGCGGCAAAAGTAGAATGAGAAAGAGGAAAATCGGGGGAAGATAGCAAACAATTTTGCAAACTGCCGGATTGCCAAATAAGTACTAAATATTAACAAGAAATTTATGTTCTTAGCTCTACTGACTAACAAATAGTTTACATTGTTTAATCTTGTTTAATATTCCAACGAAAGATAATGTATCATTAGGCATTCAACAACGTATTGTTTAGGATTATGGTCGTAGTCTTTAAAAGTTTATAAAAGATTTACCCGGATAATTATACACAAGTTGTATCTCTAAAATATTTTATATAATTACTACTATATTACTACTTTGCTGGCCGCAACTGTATGTAATCCAATATTAAACCAGAAACCAGATTTGATTATAATTTTTGGTGTCTCTCTCAAGGAAAAATCGGCTTAGAAGGATGGAAAATTAAATTTTTTTTAGTTCCTAATGTTTTATATAAAATTATCTCGATCAAATTTTATTTAGATTTTTTCGCGATTACGATAACAGAGGGTAAACAGAGAGCGATAATAGAAAAAACAGCTAACTTCCGCATGTTAACAGAAAGAGAATTTTTGTAAGCAAATACTCTCATTTAATTCTGAAAAAAGTTAACAGTTTTGCCGGCTCTCTCTTTCTTCTTCGCATTCTTCTAAGCTCTCCTTCGCGCTCTCTTTCTCTCTGTTAATGTCGTAGGTCGGGCGCTGTTCGCTCTGCCGACGTCTGTGCCTTTTTTCTTTCCAGGAAATAAAATAAAAATAAAAAGTACTTATAAAAAAAAATTTTTTAAATAAATATTTAAAAAAAATGTTTCATAAAACA